CTGTAGAAGGTTCAAGGGCTGTAGGAAGCCACGACGCTGTTACCGCCAGATTCAGCTCTGTCCACTGGACAGCAGTTGGTCGAACCATTCGTTTCTATCTGATCATGACCAGTTCACTAGCGATTATGACCATACCAGCATCCGTGTGTTCTTTCCTGGAGGCCATCGGATGGAGAATTGATGCAGTTGTCTTTGACTATATTCTGCCATTTGTACAGTCAGCGATTAATTTCTACTTAAACATTTTCATGAACTCGGAGTTTAGGAATGCAGTTCGGCAGTTATTTAGGTGGAAACGTCCCCTGGACAATTAAAATAATTAACTGCAATCACTTTACTGTATCGGAATTGTACCTCTCAAATTTGTGAAAGCAATCAATATTTGAATATTCTGCCTAATCATTTAAACAACAATTTTACCGATTTTACTCTCAGATTGCCATTGATAATTTGCGATGCAGCAGAAGTTATGTAGTGTGTTTGTGTTTTAGCTGAAAGGATTCTGTTTATAATTGATTGTTGATGAAATGTTGATGTAATAAGTCTCACGAGGTGAACGAAAACAAGGCTGAGTTTACCAGGCAGCAAATTAATCAATAAATTGATTGTGACCTCATTACGTAAGTTTCCGAGTGGGAAACATAGTTTTGAAATGAACGAACATAAAACCTGAATGTCATTTTTTCAAGGTGGCAACGAGTGGTGATACCAACCATACGTCTGGTTACAGGCCGTTGAGGAGTGTTAATATGGGAGGGGTGGGGGTTGTAAAGTCTTGGGAAGTAAAAGCGGCCGGAGTGATGTTGGCCACATCACCCACTGAGTTTCTGTTGGTCTATAAAATATAGGTCCCGCTCTGTATGCCCTGAATGCATGTAAAAGGGCCCTTCCTGAACTTACCATGTACCCGTTACTTACCATGTACCCTTTACTTACCATGTACCCGTTACTTACCATGTACCCGTTACTTACCATGTACCCGTTACTTACCATGTACCCGTTACTCACCATGTACCCGTTACTCACCATGTACCCGTTACTCCTAAAGGCTTGAAAACGTAACCTGACTGTACACTTTCATTCAGACAGTTGTTTCCTGTGTTGTAAAACCTGCTGTAGTATGTTTTGTTGTGTGTGTTGTGTTCTATTATATTGTGTGTGTTGTGTTCTATTATATTGTGTGTGTTGTGTTCTATTATATTGTGTGTGTTGTGTTCTATTATATTGTGTGTGTTGTGTTCTATTATATTGTGTGTGTTGTGTTCTATTATATTGTGTGTGTTGTGTTCTATTGTATTGTGTGTGTTGTGTTCTATTATATTGTGTGTGTTGTGTTCTATTGTATTGTGTGTGTTGTGTTCTATTGTATTGTGTGTGTTGTGTTCTATTATATTGTGTGTGTTGTGTTCTATTGTATTGTGTGTGTTGTGCTTACATCGCATCGGATGCCAGGTCCCTGCTCACAAAGTAAGCCACCTTGGAACTGAGAAAACAACGAATGGTCATTACTGTCTCAGCACATCCACTAGCAAACACGTGCATTAAAAGCATAAGGCAGCTATCAGAAGGGCTAACACAAACAGTCTGACATTAGAAACGCAGTTCATCTTCGACGGAAGCAGCAGTTACAAAAAATCAGTAGTTGCACACGCCGTCAAATTTATTCAGATAAGGCACTATCATTTCTATAGCAACAAGCCGCGCAATTTTCTGAGTTTACAGTTCACAACACCACGTTGGTCACAGTCGAAAAACATTCCAAATGAAAACGCAGCCTATAATGTCGCACCATGCACTCATTACAGTAGCTTGACGACAAAAAACTATACTTCTGTCAAAAGCACAAAATTTGCCATGACTGAAAACAGCGACCATGACTGTCCCTTTTGACTGATTAAGAAGGCTTCTTTATATACTCGACAAAGCGAGACAACCAATAGAAACCTTTAGTCCAGTGCTTTCAGTACTAGAGAAAATGCAGCCTGAAAAGTTGATGTTTCTACAGTACTAGAGAAAATGCAGCCTGACAAGTTTATGTTTCTACAGTACTAGAGAAAATGCAGCCTGACAAGTTGATGTTAATACAGTACTAGAGAAAATGCAGCCTGAAAAGTTGATGTTTCTACAGTACTAGAGAAAATGCAGCCTGACAAGTTGATGTTACTACAGTACTTGAGAAAATGCAGCCTGAAAAGTTGATGGTACTACAGTACTAGAGAAAACGAAGCCTGGACAGTTAATGTTACTACAGTGCTAAAGAAAATTCAGCTTGAAAAGTTGAAATTACTACAGGGCAGAGCAAGGCCTCAGCTTCAGTCAGCAGTGGGCCAAGATAGGACGTTCCAACAGTCGGGCTGTCATAGCACTGCTCTCCTGCTCTGGTGGGTTCTACAGCATGCCTTGCTTTCAAATTACCTGTGTTAATCCCCCCCCCCCCCACCCCGGCAAAATTCTCTGTCTGGACATTTAAAGCCCCTTGACTCACTTTTTTTTCCAAATTATATTTACCATCTTGTGATAAATGTGTGTTCTTTATTTGTCTTGGAGACAGTTCGTAAACATTTTATACATAAACTATATATACATAAACATGAACAATAAACTGTCGGTCATCTAGGATAAAATAAAAACAGCAATGGTCACACTGAAACAAATCAAAAAGATTCAACAGAAACGAGACTGATGTTAGCGAGAAAGCGACAGATAAAGAGTAGGAATTTCAAAGACAGTGAGACATGGGGACAGCCAAGACAAATTTTCTGTGGAAATGGCACACTGGATATGGCTTGTGCATTGGCCTCATGATTCCCAGGATCGAATCTCCGTATAGCTGTTGACAACGGTGTCCAGCTAGCATCAGAACATGGTCTACAATATATGCAGAGAATCGATCCTTTCAGCCAAATATGGTCTACAATATATGCAGAGAATCGATCCTTTCAACCAAACATGGTCTACAATATATGCAGAGAATCGATCCTTTCAACCAAACATGGTCTACAATATATGCAGAGAATCGATCCTTTCAACCAAACATGGTCTACAATATATGCAGAGAATCGATCCTTTCAACCAAACATGGTCTACAATATATGCAGAGAATCGATCCTTTCAACCAAACATGGTCTACAATATATGCAGAGAATCGATCCTTTTAACCAAACATGGTCTACAATATATGCAGAGAATCGATCCTTTCAACCAAACATGGTCTACAATATATGCAGAGAATCGATCCTTTCAACCAAACATGGTCTACAATATATGCAGAGAATCGATCCTTTCAACCAAACATGGTCTACAATATATGCAGAGAATCGATCCTTTCAACCAAACATGGTCTACAATATATGCAGAGAATCGATCCTTTCAACCAAACATGGTCTACAATATATGCAGAGAATCGATCCTTTCAACCAAACATGGTCTACAATATATGCAGAGAATCGATCCTTTCAACCAAACATGGTCTACAATATATGCAGAGAATCGATCCTTTCAACCAAACATGGTCTACAATATATGCAGAGAATCGATCCTTTCAACCAAACATGGTCTACAATATATACAGAGAATCGGTCCTTTCAACCAAACATGGTCTACAATATATGCAGAGAATCGATCCTTTCAACCAAACATGGTCTACAATATATGCAGAGAATCTGTCCTTTCAACCAAACATGGTCTAAAATATATGCAGAGAATCTGTCCTTTCAACCAAACATGGTCTAAAATATATGCAGAGAATCTGTCCTTTCAACCAAACATGGTCTAAAATATATGCAGAGAATCTGTCCTTTCAACCAAACATGGTCTAAAATATATGCAGAGAATCTGTCCTTTCAACCAAACATGGTCTAAAATATATGCAGAGAATCTGTCCTTTCAACCAAACATGGTCTAAAATATATGCAGAGAATCTGTCCTTTCAACCAAACATGGTCTACAATATATGCAGAGAATCGATCCTTTCAACCAAACATGGTCTAAAATATATGCAGAGAATCTGTCCTTTCAACCAAACATGGTCTAAAATATATGCAGAGAATCGATCCTTTCAACCAAACATGGTCTACAATATATGCAGAGAATCAATCCTTTCAACCAAACATGGTCTTCAATATATGCAGAGAATCGATCCTTTCAACCAAACATGGTCTAAAATATATGCAGAGAATCTGTCCTTTCAACCAAACATGGTCTAAAATATATGCAGAGAATCGATCCTTTCAACCAAACATGGTCTAAAATATATGCAGAGAATCTGTCCTTTCAACCAAACATGGTCTAAAATATATGCAGAGAATCTGTCCTTTCAACCAACATGGTCTAAAATATATGCAGAGAATCTGTCCTTTCAACCAAACATGGTCTACAATATATGCAGAGAATCGATCCTTTTAATCAAACATGGTCGACAATATATGCAGAGAATCGATCCTTTCAACCAAACATGGTCTAAAATATATGCAGAGAATCGATCCTTACTTTATCTCTGCTAGGAGTTAAAGCTATACTTTATTTCGCCAATGAGATAAAGTGAAGTAAAGATATCACTGGAAGCCGTAATCTGTCAAACATAAAGAGCTTCAACACCAGGTTGACAACACTGGATCCGACTTGGCGCGTCAACACAATCAAATAAATTTTTTGTTAAATATATAAAACACGTAACAATTGCAAGGATTTATGGCAAGAGAGACCGGGGACGACAGTGGGGGGAAAAAGTGTTTAAAAGTCTTTTTTCGTGACATGAAAGCCAGTCAGAATGTTAACTGAGACAGGCTGTTAGAGATCACCAAATGTGAAAAAGACAGAGCGTCAACGACAACTGACAAGACATGCGACGACGATGATGATGATGATGATGATGATGATGACGATGAGGACGATCAAAAAACGAGAGACATCGTATGTATTAAATACCAAAACGACAGTAATTTAATCAAAGGCCGGACATCATAAGAACAACTGCTCACTTCTTGCGGCAGTGACCCACTTCAGCTGCACTGGCACTGCAAGACTGTTTTGGAGACTGGACATCTGGCTCTGACACGGACACACTTGCCGGAGCGTTTGCCCAGCTGCTTGCATCGCTTGTCACAGTTTTTCCACAGAATACCAGTCAAAGGGCTGCTCCACCTAGGAGGAAAGGGGGTAGGGGGAGGCATCACAGTGCGAATGAAATAACGTGGTCAACAAGTTGTATAACTTTCATTCATACCACCCTACCAGTCATGCATACGTAATTTATCCATCCACATCTCCGTCCATACTTTACATCAGTCTATCCATACATCCATCTACTCTATACCCAATCATTCCACTAGGCTGGTGCCCCACTATCCTCGTGGTTACCTGAAAACACAGCAATCGGTCAGATGAATCCACGTTTCGATGTTGCTGTCAATTACAATCTTGGTTAGTTGCGTATCCTTTATAGGATGTTGCAGAACCAACCTAGGTTTTTTAATGCAAATTTACGTCTAGTAGTTTACCATTGCTCTCTGGAGGGTCGGCTGTCTTGATACCACTGTCGAAACCGACGCAAGGCGCATGGCCGATCGAACCCGGCATCCCGGCATTACGAAGCGTTTGCATCGATTTAGCTACAGAGCCGACCAATGACAATCTACTTGTCTAAATAATCACTTCAACATGATACTCACAGTTTTAAAAAAAAGCGACAGACAACAACACAGGTCAGCGTTAGGAACATAAACGTTCTGCTCGGTAGGAAAGATTCCAAAAACTGGCTCTCCTCCGAACTTCTACCCCGCATTATGGCCTCCTGAAAAATCTGTTCGGGGCTCAGTTCTATTAAAAATATGCCGGCTCCGTATAACGAAACAAATGCTTCAACAGGGTCTCAGCGATATGTTACTTGCGGACCTGTTTCTTATTGTTTCTGATTACCTGACAATTATAAGAGACGCTACACTGCAGACGATAGTAGCAGACGATAATAGCGTCTGTTGACACTTTCCATTGTCGGACTTTCTGCCGAGGAACAAATATGTAAAATAGGGACTTGTCGGACTTTCTGCCGACGAACAAATCGCGGCAAATCTAGGATCGGCTCGCAAAAACGAAACAAATGCTCTAACAGGGTCTCAGCGATATGTTACTTTCGGACCTGTTTCTGTGACTATGCCTCACTAGATGGGCTAAACTAGATGGCTGGGACTCACGAGCAGCAGCTACCGCATCTCCTGCAACTTCCTCCAATTAATTTGCTCGTGAGTCCCAGACACCTTGTTTAGCCCCCCATCCGCGCCGCCCGTAGCGGCGCGGGGGAACACTCAGCGGTGAGTTTAATCGCGTTTTGCGCATGCCGACAAGTCTGACATCTACCGCTGCTAAATCCTCAATCGGAAGAACAGTATTGCTAATCTGCGTGGGAGCGCGTGCTCTACCCGCCATATCGCTTTTATCGTCTGTAATGTCTCGAAATTGTCAATAGTCGATTTTTATCGTCTGCTAGTATCGTCTGCAGAAACGCTCGACATTGTTACCGATCGCTTTTATCGTCTGCTACTATCGTCTGCAATGTTGCTTCTCTTGAAATTGTCAGGTAATCCTAGTTTTGCCTCGATTTGTTCCTTGGCAGAAAGTCCGCATTTTTCATTGGACTGAGCCCCGAACGGATATTTCAGGCCGCCATAATGCGGGGGTAGAAGTTCGGAGAAGAGCCCAAAAACTGAACCTTCGGACAAGACCGAGTGTGCCCGGAGTTCGCCCGAAGTTATACGCTCAGGTGAACTTAATGTCAGGGATCTTTACTCAGCCCACCGCGACTCTGTTTTCAGGTACATTTCATTAGGTCTTGGTGGAAACACTCCGTGACTGAGCTGACTCACTCATAAGTAAATGTGGCCGATGCGATATTGACCATACCACCATTGGACTTTAGGATAGGAGTCCAGCCTCATATGCCTACTGCGCCATTTGTGTGTCACGGGACGTTAACTTGACTTTTCTACTTTACAGGCAATTGGACATATGCTTTATCACACATACACACACGCCCGCCCGCCCGCAAACACAAACACACACACACACATACACACACACACATCGGCGTCTCTCTGGGACACTGCCAGCGGTTCGGTAACGTTCACTAAGACGTACAATGGTGGCAATTGGTTCTTCTGGAAATGGCTTTCGAGTTCCTTCTGGTCTACAAAAACCACTGGGTCGTTGTCGGTTGTTTTCAGGTAGTCGTGGTATTGCAAGCACATGTACTAGGTGTTTCGTCTCGACGGCCTTTTGATACCGAGTATACTGCCACATCGCCTGCACATTGTTAGGGTCACAGCTGCTGGGAATCGCACTGTACGTGTAACTTTAAGTTTTTCTGTCGACTGTACACAAAAACGTGGGCAGAATCATCCACTTTTGATTTCAGTACCCATTCGCTCTCCATCGCATGATAAATACAGGGGAACATCTCCTGTCCCACTTTTTATTTTCACACCAACTTCTCAGAAACAGTGTATATTTAAGTGGTGCGTTTGTCCTGTGCTTTAGTATAATATACCAGTAATACAGAACCAGTTACCTTGAACATCGGCTCCAATCATTGTAGCAGTCCTTGATCACTCCAGCATCGGCGCCAGGCGTCAATGTCAAGGCCGTGAGAATGAGAGCCACGAGGCAGACGCTGAGGGTTCTGGTAGAGGTCATGACTGCAGGCTGCAGAATCTTCTGTGTAGGAGGCAGGTCTTGGCTGTGGAGCCAGATTACAGTACATGATGAAACAACCAGAGGGTAGTATGTCGAGAAACTGCAGACAGAGGGTATATCGAGAAATTGCGAAAAGACTACAGATAGAGGGTATGTCAAGGTACTGTGAAGAGATTCAGACAGAGGGTATGTCGAGAAACTATGAAGAGACTACAGACAGAGGGTATGTCGAGAAACTATGAAGAGACTACAGACAGAGGGTATGTCGAGAAACTATGAAGAGACTACAGACAGAGGGTATGTCGAGAAACTATGAAGAGACTACAGACAGAGGGTATGTCGAGAAACTATGAAGAGACTACAGACAGAGGGTATGTCGAGAAACTATGAAAAGACTACAGACAGAGGGTATGTCGAGAAACTATGAAAAGACTACAGACAGGGGGTGTGTCGAGAAACTGTAGAGAGACTACAGACATAGGGTATGTCAAGAAACTGTAGAGAGACTACAGAAAGAGGTTATGTCGAGAAACTGTGAAGAGACTACAGATAGAGGGTATGTCGAGAAACTGGGAGAGATAGCAAATAGAGGGTATGTCGAGAAACTGCGCAAAGACAACAAATAGAGGGTATGTCGAGAAACTGCTCAGAGAACAAAAGAAGGGTATGTCGAGAAACTGCACAGAGACTACAGAGGGTATGTAAAGAAACTGTGAAAAGACTACAGACAGAGGGGATCTCAAGAAACTGTGAAAAGACTACAGACAGAGGGTATGTCGAGAAACGGCGCAATGACAACAAACACAAAACACTGTAAAATCTGGTGAACACCAATTTCAACGGACCAAACATCGGATTCCTGTTCACAAATAATAATAATAATAATAATAATAACACTAATAATAACAATAATATATGACTGTTGAGACCACAGTTTTGCCCACGCCAGCAGCTCTTCTTAAACGAGTTCTTGCTGACAAGGTTTTACTGCATGCCAGGGCTTTTGAACTGTCGGCCCGCCACGACATAGCAAGTGGCCTGTGGATCATTCTCGGCTGTATTGTATTACTGATACGTCTAGGCTAGGGTGGGGGCAGGTGACAATCGCTATTGTCAACATTGTGGTCCCTCAGCTAAATAAACCTGTTTGACAGAACTGCAGCACAAGATGAATAATAGCCGAAACTGCGCTGCCTTCTATCATCATCGTCATTATCATCATAATCTCTTTTGGGCTATGGCAATAAACCTAGACCAGTGTTTCCCAAACCCATCTGAACACGTCACACCCTACCCCACCCTCCTCCATTTTGGGAAACACTGATCTAAACTATACAAGTGCTGTGAATGTAGAGACCACTCTAGTAAATGCAGCATTTCGCTGGATTTCAAATATTTTAACTGAAGTATTTCACAGGATTACAGATATTCTAAGTGAAGTATTTCACAAGATTACAAATATTCTAAGGGAAGTATTTCACGGGATTACAAATATTCTAAGCGAAGTATTTCACAGAATTGCAAACATTCAAGTAAATGCAGCATTTTACAGAATTACAAACATGCTGTACTATGTGTCTTTATTAAAAAATGTGCGCAAAATGGTGCTCTGAAACCAGTACCGTTGCACTTCAATACCCAGGATCACCAAGGTGTCCTTGACATGGAGGTGACAGCCATTACATCTAGCCACTCCAGCAACAGAGTCCGCAAGTCTCTTGAGAATGTCTTTATTTATTCTCTGGGGACTTTAACACCCTCCGGACTGCATTACCAACATAGTTTCATTTAAACCCCCATGGGATTGAACTGCCCTCACAGTTTTATCTCTTACTCCCTAGTTATGGCCACTAGTACTCCACAGGGGGTATTTATTCCCCCAGCCGACACGTGTAGTCATTCTGCCGAGAAACCACCGACCCGGCTGCTTCGAGATACCAGCTAAGTGATTTTGTGTATCTGTGTAGTATTGTTTGAATTGTATATGCTGATGACGGCTTAATAGCCGCAAAGTTCACGTTTTTTTTTTTTTTTTGTATTTGTTATATTGTGAAGCTTGTTAATATACTTTTAGTTCGGTTTTTTTATCGTCTCTTGATATGTGTCTTTATAGAGTGAAGGGAGATATGTGGAGGCTCTTACTAGCAATGTAGAGCCTAGTACGAAAGTCAGTCATGGACAGTCATGGACAGTCACACACTGTCATGGAGAGTCACGAACAGTCTAATACAGTTAGCCGATACTGGAGACATTATGTGGAAACTACATCTGGAATCCTGGACTGATATATTTCCTTCTGAAACAATGATTTTCACTTGACTGCCAGCAATACTGACTTCAATGTAATCACACAAATGAGCTAAACAAACGACCTGCTGGAGTACAGACATGGACGTAGATATGGCTGCTCTGTGATCTCGTAGATTTGGCTGCTCTGTGATCTCATAGATTTGGCTTCTATGTAATCTCGTAAATTTGACTGTAATGTGATCTCATAGATTTGGCTACTATGTGATCTCGTAGATTTGACTGTTCTGTAATCTCATAGATTCGGCTGCTCTGTGCTCTCGTAGATTTAGCTGCTCTGTGATCTCGTAGATTTGGCTGCTCTGTGATCTCGTAGATTTGGCTGCTCTGTGCTCTGGTAGATTTGGCTACTGTGTGATCTCGTAGATTTGACTACTATGTGATCTCGTAGATTTGGCTGTTCGGTGATCTCGTAGATTTGGCTACTTTGTGATCTCGTAGATTTGGCTACTATGTGATCTCGCAGATTTGACTACTATGTGATCTCGTAGATTTGGCTGTTCGGTGATCTTATAGATTTGGCTACTATGTGATCTCGTAGATTTGACTGCTCGGTGATCTCGTAGATTTGGCTGCTCTGTGATCATGTATTCAAATCTTCTTTAAAATGACGAATTATTTCACTGATCTAGAGTTCTATGTTGAACTAGCTTAGATAGTACCAAGAAACCTAGTGGAGATCAAGGCGACCGCTGTTACATAACTACATCACCTTCTAATGTTGGTTAGTCCAAAAAAAAAAACAGGATAGCATTTCACAGCATGGAATCTAGCAAATTTGATTTATACACAGCTCACAACACAGCATGTAATCTAGCAAACTTGACTCCTTAAAATCTAGCAAGTTTGATTTATACACATCATCTCAAAGCATGGGATCTAGCAAACTGGACTTACATAACTTAGCTCATAGCTTAAAATCCAGCAATTTTGATTTATACACAGCTCAAAGCATAGGATCTAGCAAACTGGACTTACATAACTTAGCTCATAGCTTAAAATCTAGCAATTTTGATTTGTACGTACCAGCTCAAAGCATGGGATCTAGCAAACTGGACTTACATAACTTAGCTCAAAGCTTAAAGTCTAGCAAATTTGATTTGTACGCACCAGCTCAAAGCACGGTATCTAGCAAACTGGACTTACATAACTTAGCTCAAAGCTTAAAGTCTAGCAAATTTGATTTATACACAGCTCAAAGCATAGGATCTAGCAAACTGGACTTAAATAACTTAGTTCATAGCTTAAAATCTAGCAAATTTGATTTATACCAGCTCAAAGCATAGAATCTAGCAAACTGGACTTACATAACTTAGCTCATAGCTTAAAATCTAGCAATTTTGATTATAACACAACTCAAAGCATAGGATCTAGCAAACTGGACTTACATAACTTAGCTCATAGCTTAAAATCTAGCCAATTTGACTTACGTCAATTATTTCTCTCTTGCGCTGTGTCTACGCTCCCTTACACAAAAATTATTACAGGTTTAAAATCCTGTTTGCAAAACGAAAAGACTTTCAGTACGCTTGTAACTGTGAGGCAACACTGTCAGATGGAGTATGTGTGAGGAAGGCTTGGGGGAGCCCTAAATAGGCAGACTTGTTTTTGGCGCAGTGACATTTGCGTGACCCAGATAAACCCACACGAAAATTCAGTCCGCTGCAGATCCGCATGGCACCCGACTCTGTTGACATCTGAACCGGATGTGTGCCAGTTTTCTTGTTTGTTTTATTTGTGCGCGAAGTCCATGATTGGGTAATTTCTGTAAATCCGGGTTTGTCTTTGCTTTCGTGTATGTGCAAGATTCGAGGAATGATATAGACGTTTATATCTTCTTCTGCTTCTTCTGCTTCTTCTGCTTCTTTTTCTTCTTCTTCTTCTTCATTTTCTTCTTCTTCTTCTTCTTCTTCTTCTTCTTCTTCTTCTTCTTCTTCTTCTTCTTCTTCTTCTTCTTCTTCTTCTTCTTCTTTTTCTTCTTCTTCTTCTTCTTCTTTTTCTTCTTCTTTTTTTTCTTCTTCTTCTTTTTCTTCTGCCTCTTCTTCTTCTTCTTCTTCTTCTTCTTCTTCTTCTTCTTCTTCTTCTTCTTCTTCTTCTTCTTCTTCTTTTTCTTCTTCTTTATCATCAGCAGCAACATAATTATAAATAATAAAAACGCCATCTGTGTCTAAATTATCACAATTATTATTAAGGATAGATTAAACTCCCAAACTGACTATTTGTTTTCAAAATTTAGGAATTTTACTTTTAAACACTACATTGCAGTTTATTCATTTCTGCACATGTACATTTCGTGTTGTAAAAATTCGATCTGAAAGTAATTTGGATAATTTTTTTTTTTCAATTGGCATGGTAACCGTTTTATCTACCTAATTATGTTTGCAAAATTTTCTAGCTGTCATAAATCAGTTGTTTATCAACCTATTTTAATAATTTTTTCACTTGTTAGAAATGGTAGAATTGTGATAATCTAATCTATTTTAAAACTCACATGAAAGATACACTTTCATTGGCCAATTTTAAAGAGGCCACAATAGCCACTGTCTTGTTTTAACTAATTGGAGAAGGTCTTCCATAAATTTTGTAAACAATGGCTGTTTCTGTGTCACACCAAACATGCCGTATCGAGTTTCCTGTTTATTTTTAAGATTGATTGTTTACATTCCATTTTATTAACTTAGTATTTGTGTTTA